TGTTATATCCCTGATATGTAAGGGTTTATGCTGGGATGACATAAAACTACATCGTCATCATTATTATATCTTAGCGTGTAAGGTGGCATGCCAGACCCGTCAGTCTGGACAAGATCTCCGAACGGTACGGTTGTATACTCAGTCCTTTAACTAATTAAAATAGTTCTAATATAAAATTAGTTTTTTTTAAAAAGAAATCCTAAAGGACTCTCGTAACAGTACGTTCTCTCCTCTTTCTGAAACACCTCTTACTATGTTATGAAGTCTTTTCAACCGACTTCAAAAAAAAAGGAGGAGGTTCTCAATTCGACTGTATTTTTTTTATGTTTGTTAGACTAGTGAGACTAGTGCATTTGTTATTTTTTTCGTTAAGTATTTAAAAACCACTACAATCTGATAAAGGTCTGCAGCTGATCTGATGATGGAGCCAATAGGCAGTCGAGGAAATTCCTCAACGGTTGATTAATTTGTATTGATGAGGACTTTATACTTTGGTGGTATGTGATTGCCAATGGGTCTGATGATGAAGTAGTACCATAGTTGAGGGAACTCCTCAACGGTTAACAGTAGCTATCTTGTGTTTGGCTTTGATTAATTTGTATTGATGAGAACTTTACACCTAGGTGTGGTGTGGTTGTCACTAAATGTACAATGATGAAGTAGTATGATAGCTAAGAGAACAATGGGTAACAGTAGCTACCTGGTGTTTGAGCTTGAATAATATGTATTGACAAAAACTTTGCACCGATGTGGATTGTTAATATTCTAGTACTAAACTAAACAGTATAAAATAAAAATAAAAAACTGCGTTTGAAATAACCGACTTCAAAAACAAAAGCAAACGAAAAGTAAAAACTAAAAAGCAAAAAATTACTATTATTAGTCATACGTACTTACATATAGCTTACACACCCACTGATAGATTAGAAGTCGGTGCCGGTATTTCGATTCTTTTGAAACGTCAACAAATACAAAATAAATAATAGTCTGTCAGTCAGTCCGTCAATGAAGCTAGGTGCTCATTCCAAAATGTAGATTCGAATGGAGAAGAACGAGAAAGAAACTCCATTAGTTACTCTTTTTAAAAAAGTATGTTCTACAATGTCTCTGAGACATATTCCAATACTGTACGTATATGTGAGAACGATGCAAAGACACGCTTGACGCATTATAGGTACTAATTACAAAACTTACTAAAATAAAAAAATAAAAACATCTTATAGTCTAACATGGTGCTCACATATGCATACTGACAATCCATAAAAATTGTGCTTCTATACAAGAAAAAGGAAACTCTTTGTTTCAATAAAGGAAGAAATGCTCGATGCCGTAAGGAAACTAATTACATATATAAAATATATTAATAAGGTAAAATTATTATTATATTAAAAGTTGGTAAATAATAAAATATCACAGTATACCCGAGCGTACGGCGCGTCGCGTTCCGCACGCACTGCAAAGAATGTAATAGCCCAAGATCGAGCGTCCTTGAACATTTTCGAGCGTCCTCGACAACTATCGACCGTCCTCGAAACCAATCGATCGTCCTTGAAAACAATCGAGCTTCCTCGTACACTTTCGAGAGTCCTCGAACTCTTTCAAGCGTCCTCGAAAACTATCGAGCATCCTCGAACACTTACGAGCATCCTCGAAACCTATCGAGCGTCCTCGTAAATAATCGAGCGTCCTCGAAAACTATCGAGCATCCTCGAACACTTTCAAGCGTCCTCGAAACCTATCGAGCGTCCTCGAAATCAATCGAGCGTCCTCGAAAACTATCGAGCATCCTCGAACACTTTCGAGCGTCCTCGTACATTTTCGAGCGTCCTCGAAAACAATCGAGTGGCCTCGAAATCAATCGAGTGTCCTCGAACACTTTCGAGCATCCTTGAAATCAATCGAGCATCCTCGAAACCTATCGAGCGTCCTCGAAATCGATCGAGCGTCCTCGAAATCAATCGAGGTTCCTCGTACATTTTCGAGCATCCTCGAACACTTTCGAGCGTCCTCGAAAACTATCGAGCATCCTCGAACACTTTCGAGCGTCCTCGAACACTATCGAGCGTCCTCGAGTAATCGATAGGTTTCGAGGATGCTCGAAAGATATCGAGCGTCCTCGAAAACTACCGAGCGTCCTCAAACACTTTCGAGCGTCCCCTGAATCAATCGAGGGTCCTCGTACATTTTCGAGTATCTAAATAATTTTAGAAAGAACATATGACTCGGAAAAAGTCACATTGGTACTTGCCATCGGTAGGTTTGGAACCCTCATGCAAGAGAAGCGAGTGACTGCGAGTGTCTTAACCTCTGAGCCACCACGACACCCACTATACAGTATTTATATTGAATCCCATGTACCTACATATGTAATAGGGGGTGAGCCTATTGCCATATACCGGGCACAATTCTAGACTCCCTGCAACTACTGAGAATATTCGAATGTGCTAAAACTTTACCTAAGGGTATGGCACGACAGCCTTATCGGCAAGCTTCCTGCATTATGGACTTCCTGCTGATCTGTGCAGATGGATAGCAGACTTACTGAGGGATCGGTCAATACGAGTAGTCATCGATAGCTGCTTGTCTGACTAATTCGGTATTAACGCCAGCGTCTCTCAAGGGTTAATACTTTCAGCGACGCTTTTTGCTGCACATAAACGACCTCCTTAAAGATACCGGGCGGTATCTTTGGGTATGCAGATGACAGCAAAGTTGTTGAAAGGCGTGTGCCCGATGCGCGGACTAACGGAACACAGATCCGGTCTCTAAGAGAATCCATGGTTGAGCGTTTGAACTCGTTCTTGAAGGCGGTCTCCGACTAGGGTAACGCCAACATGGTAAAGTTCAACGCTAGCGAAACCCATTCTCCGCCAAACGGAGTCAATTTCAGCTGACTCCTACTCTCCGGAATGTATCCGTTCCATTAACCGACATACCCAACTTTGGCTCCTATATAGTCAAATCGCAACTGGCTGGTAGAAGTTGGGTATCCTATAGTGTGAGATGGTACTTCACGCCGAAACAATTACTGAACCTGTAGCGACCACAGGTTTGGTCCTGTATGGAGTACTGGGACGAGTATCACCTTTGGGACGGCTCGGTAAATATCAGCTAGACGCGTTAGAGCACATTCAGAGGCGTGCCTAGAGGCTTATCAACAATGACGCGTTTGTGAAGGCCCGACTTCAAAGCCTCGAACACAGGCCAAAGGTTGCAAGCCTTCCGATTTTCTACCGGATACATTTTGGTGAGTGGGCGGGGGAACTTCACAACTTGATTCCCCCTAGTCCGTTCCATCATCGTACCACAAGACAATCAGCGAAGCGTCCCCGATTCATAGTAGATGTCCCACCCACACTGTGCGCGTGTGCGTACTGTTAAGGAGTGGAATTTTTTGCCAGAGACTGTATTTCCTGAGGGGTATAACCTGAGTGTCTTCAAGGCCCGAGTGAATAGGTTGCTTATGGGACGACGTGCTCCATCGTAGACCGCATCATCGCTTACTACCAGGCGAGATAGTGGTCAACCGTCGCTTCGGCCCATAAAATATAATTAAAAAAGAAACCTATATGGGTCTCTAGTGCGATTCTCGGATCGGGCAACATAATATTGTGTAAAGTAAAAAGAAAAACAATTTATTTGTTGAGACATTTATTCGTAGTCCATTAATGTTACAATTTAAATAGTTTCCACCGAAATTAAATATTTTACAGCAAACATTACAGTGAATTATGACAAAATAATTTCGTATCTGATTTTTGAAGATTACAGTACGACCGTATATTAACGTTGTTTATGTATAATATAAAATTGATATTAACACGTGATTTCCAAATATACACACCTTGACCTCAGCTGTGACGTTATAAGTAACAAAATAATGTAACATTCGAAGGAATAATTCAACTAATACGCGAACGGTTGGTCAGTCAGATATACACATTTAACAATAGTTTCTTTGCTACAATGCCCACATATTGTCCAGAACGAGCTAATAATGAAAGACAATACAACATTACAGCCAATACTAATATTATGTAATAACAGATATGTCGCTAACTACAAGTAGGAACGGAACTAGAAAAGATCGCGTGCAATCTGAGACTATCAAACATATTGCATACTTGTGGAAACTTAACATAAACACTAACAGATAGAAAAAGCGATTCTCTATTGATTAATTCATTAAATACTGTCAAATAAATTGTTCCCCTGCGATTAAAGTTTACAACAGTTTATTAATATTTTATTACAATCAACCCATTACGTTATCCATCTAACTCCACTCAGAATATGTAAAAGATATTTTAATTAGATTATATATTTTCTAGTTAACTTAATGAAAATGTTACTTTTTCTAAACAAAAAACCTAGTATGTAGTACCCTAATAAAATTTTGTATGCTTAGTTCATTTAAAAAAACCAGGTTCAAGCTGACATTATTTGGCTTTTGACGGCTACGTGAAGCAGGAGAGCAAGCCCGATCAAAATGTTAAACTTAAAATATACAAATATATCAGTCAGTGGGCTGTAAGCTACATTCTATTTTCCTAACTACAGTACAAATAAGTCATCGCGCGCTATCACCAATCACATTCACACTAACCTCAAGAATTTGTTTAACAATAAGTATATTTATTAATTACTAAATACAGATATATAAATTATATCCACTTGTTCGAATTCATGATATTATCCTTAATATACAACATCAATAAAATTATGTATTCAATATACATAAGAGCGCGAAATGCAATTTTTTATTCTTATGTTACATTTACGCAATTCATATTCAACATGGAAAGCTATTTTTTTAATACAAAAATAACATTATAGACAAGGAATGAACATTTAACATTTAATTGACGTGCATTTGAAGTTGTCATATTATAAATATTTCAAAAGCTTCGTCATTTAATATTTATGTGTTTGTTATAAATTACATGTCGTAGACGAAACGTTCGCCTTTTATAGGTAAGTATTGACTATAGAGTTATGGTTTCCGCAGATGGTGAGTTTATTGTTATTATTTATCTATATCGACTTTAAATTAGCTCGACCACCGACGGGAACCAATACATAAATCTCAGTACAAATTGTCCTCGCCTCTCACGTCTTGTGTTGCTCAATGATGTGTGGATATCATCATTGAGCATATTAATTCTTCAATCTCAATAAAATCTAAATTTTCACAAACTAGACATTGGAAGCTAGAACGGACGACGGTTGTTACAGATAGTGGCCCAATGAAACATGAAACATCTCATGCGCAATAATGCGCAACTATTATTTTATTTGTTACGTATACTTTTGCGCATGCAAGTTCGTTATAGCCAGTCATTAGGACATTTAAACTCACTATCACGCACTTAAATTGGGAAATCAGAAAAGCAACTAATTCTAAATAATACCACATCAACCAGGACAAATAAGGAGACATAAAAATACAATAAATACAGTAAAACTTGCTACTAATCAGACAGTTTATGTAGTCACATTTATTATTTAATTAATTACTGTGTGTATTGTACGAACAATGAGCTTCAATGACCTAATACACAATCTGCCTTGACACTTCCTTACGTTTCATCAACCGCCTCGTCCTGCCGAGAGAATACATAAATCCACAATAACAGGCCGTTACATAGAAGTCACACACACAACGGTCGCGCGTCACTTTTACATAAAGAATAACAATTCTGAAAGTAAATATATCTTTGTTATAATTAGTTGTATGCACATTGCACATGTCATTGAATTTATAGATCCGGCTAATAATTGTGACATACTAAATGACTTTAATACATACTGTGGCGGACGTGGGCGACCGTCGCGTGTACAAGCAACTTACTCTCGTACTTAGTACATCACAACCCATGTTCAATGTGAACATTCATTTTGTTCAATACTGCTCCCGTCTAATACTTGCCATACTTTGCTGCACTAACACTCACTGCAGGAAGTCCTGAGATCATCTATAAATACTTATATCTCACTGGGACATGGACCGCTATAAGGCAAAGATGCCTCTATATATTTTGATTTAGTAGATCTCACAATCTACCTAAACATAATGCAATTTAAAATGTAAATATATAAAATTATTTATCCAATCAACATCACACATGTAAATATACTGTACACTAACAATATACGTTTACTGTATTCGCGATATATCCATTTATTTATGACAACATGTTAAAGAACTGATCTTCTACCATATACCTAATAATTATGTTAAACGAATTTTACTAACATCAAATCTGTATCCACAACGTTCTAAACAAACGCAAAGTGTAGCAAGTGTTAGATCCAAATCTATTCGTTACTAGTTTACAGAGATCTCGAACATTAAACATTTACCTAATTGTAAGGTGACTGATCCGCTGCTGGGCAAACAAATGCTGGCCACACGAGGTTCATCTCGAACTACTGAACTCACAGAGGTGAGCGTATGATAGTACTCGGTCCTGGACCGAGCATCTCCTTTGGCTAGTTACAATTGCACGTGTACCGAGGAGGCCGAGACTGGCTGGGCGACGCTGTCTACGTGGACAGGTAGAGGCGGTGGTAGTCGTTGGCCCCGAAGGCCGCGTTACACTTGGGACACTTGCGCTGCCGCGTCTCATATCGCGTGCGCAAGCAATCCCAGCAGAACACGTGGAAACACTTTGTCAGTACCGCGTCCTTGCGTTTCACCTGCAGAATAACAAACAATATCGTATCCAGTTTATGCTTATAGAATAGCTTGACAATCTACAATATGTAAGTTAGTATGATACATACCTTGCACGAGGGGCAGGTGAGTGTCTCCTTGTATTCCCGGATCTCCTCCAGTAGAACCTCGTCCATACTGCTGCCCGCTTGTTCCATTTTCTTCATTCGCTCCGCTTTGCGGCGTAAGATCGCCAGCTCTTCCTGTAATCGAGATATACTTGCTAGACACAATCCCATAGAAGACATGATATAACATACAATCAACATTTGTTTTCCTTAGTCATTTCTAATGTCCCTGGAAATCAAACTATAATTATTTGTAGTAGGACTGTAGGAGGATATATTAACAAATATATAGTAAGTAACAGACACTTACATGTAGTCTTTTTGTTTTATATGCTTCAGCTTCCAAAGCACTCGTCTTCTCCGCCACTACTTGTTGCGCCTCTTTCATTTGCGCGTGGTATTTTTCTGAAAATTAAGCAAATTAGCTAGTGTAGTATATTAAACCTTTTTAGTTTTTTAAACTGTAATAACTAGCTAAAAAAGCTTTTTGAGAATGCATTTTTACGACTCAATCAGACGAAGGCACACCAATCAATAATGTCTAGAAAGACATATTCTACATTCCTCGTTTCAGAAGATAGATAATTTGTTAGCACATGGCAGACTATCATCAGAATACACTAGCAAAATCTATTTAATTGATAAACTGAGAGAAACAAATACTTTATTTTTCATCTTTTTTACAACAAGGTTCAAGGCATGAGCCAAAGCACTTTCGGTTTCTATAATGATATGGAAACCGAAAGTGCTTTTTTATGCTAATCGTTATAATCGTGTTAACTTTATCTGCGTACCTAAATGTAGTTTGAGATCGGCAGCAGACTGTGCAGATTCTATGGCCTTTCTCTTGTGCATCTCCATGGCCTGCTGCCGCAGCAGTAGTTCCTTCTCGACGGCGGACAGCGTCGCCTGCAGCAAGCGTTCCTTCTCCTCCAGTCGACGCGCCACCGCGCCCATTGACTCGATCTGTTGGTCGCGAGTTAGCACCTGGATGTACAAGAAAAATAATTAATTCACCAAATATGTTATGAGTTCCACCTAAAAGAAGGTATTGACATACTCTATGTTATTATTTGTCAACTTAATTTAAAATATTCCCGACCCATCTGACTGGCGATAAAGGAAACCTTATGATTTCTAGTTATAAGTTTAATATGACCAATCCGCATTCAGCAAGCGAGGGGATTAATGATCAAACCTTCTCCGCGCAAGGTTCGCCTTTGGTCAGCAGTGGCCACTGCCAGCCAACACAGCTTGAAACTAGTCCGAAAAGCCCTTGAATCGTAAAAACCAGTATTTAACTCAATATATCTCAAGACATTGTACAAAAGCGTAATAAGAAACTAGCATGTTACCTGTTCCTGTAACAACTGCTTCTCTTCCCGGAGCAGTTTGTGCAGAGAGTTGGCTTTGATCCGCTCTGACATCAGTTTGAAGTTGGCGTCATCTTTCTCCCGGAGTTGCTGTATGAGACGAGAGTTCTGTTCCTGCATGTCCTCAAACGCCTGCCCCGTCACCTCCATCTCATTGAGCAGAGCTTCCTCCTCCTGTGCATTGGAAAAGTACTATTTACTATTATTATACTGACCATTTGTTTAGTCAGTTCGTTTATATTATGGTTAGCTTATGAGAAGGTGAAATTATTTATATTAAAGGATTAAGTACAATAATTAGTAAAGTATGAAGTTTTAGAGCGGACAGGCGACAGATGTTATCTGTTAAGTAATGTTGCAAGTTTTAATGTTAATTAATAATGTAAGTAAACAGGATGCCAGCATTCATTTGATTGTAGAAAGTACTGAAAGGCCTGTCAGGATGTATGGATAGATGCCTGTATGTTACTCTCTGACACTAAAACTACTAATTAGATTTGAATGAAACTTGGCACCGAGACAGATTTACCCTGAGAACGCAAGCGGAAGCTGCTGGAGAGAAATGATTAGGAAACATGTAGTATAATGGCCATAGAATAGAAGATGGCGTGGTATAGTTTATGTTATAAAGCTGAGCAATGAGTTTGAAACCGCACCCACATCAATGAAATTTTACCTGTTTGATGTACCATTGGTAGTTGACTAGACTCTGTCCGGATTAATATAATCTGCTGCCAACTTGTAAATTGTAATAAGACAGTGAAGAGAATCAACACTTCTGTTTTGATAAGTAAATAGAGTAGATAATGTTGTGTAATGTAATATGTTTTGAGTAAAATTGTAATTTGTAAATCGTTTTACTATCCCGCCCGGAACTAATCATCATGTTATGCACAAATTGTGATACGGGATTATCTTAGTCATGACGCCTTTTATCTCCAAAGAGGCAGGCAGAGGTGCACATTATTTTAGTATGGGGTTAAAAATGTAATATATGGCTAATGTTACCGGTGATCCAGCAAAGGGTCTCGTGAATGCGTGCAATGGGTCCGCGTTGGGTCTGGCACAGGACAGTTGTTTCTGCAGCTCGTATTTCTGTTCCTCTAATTGCTTGATCTTACGTAGCGCGTCCTCGTCTGCCAGTCGACGTTCTCGCTTACTTTCCTATGTGATGGATACAAGAATATTAATATTTTGAAGATAAGGTAATAAAAAGCTTACAACTAGACTGGAATAAAGACTTTTTTCAATATTATAAATCCATTCAAAGATTTTATTTATTTATTTAATCTTTAATGTACATAATTTGATTATGGCACATAAGATTGTATGTAAGAAATCATTTTACATGATAACGTCGCCTATTAGCCTGTTACATTGCACCCCTATTAATTAAAGGGCGTGAATATTGTCACATCAGGAATAATTCCCGAATCTATACCGAATAATTTTGAAAAAAAAAAACAATACACGACTATCTAGTTAAACCTATATGAATCCTACCTGTGCCATCTTGGCCTTCTGTCGATGGTCCTCTAGTTCCTGCCTGGCCTTCCTCTCAGCAGCCATGAGCTGCACCTTATCTCTCTGCTCCTTGCTAACCCCCTTGTACATATCCAGCAGCAACTTCAACTCCTTCTGCTCATTTACTGCCTTCCTGATAATGTTACAAACAGATACTGGATGAATATATACACACTATTTGTATTATCACTGCTGAATTTATAATCCTATGTGACCTAATAATTAATCATTCTAATGACATTCAGTAATAATAATCAATCCAAATCATTGTTTTCAACTATTTTCTAATTTTGTATGCTGAAAAAGCTAACATACCGTTTAAAAATGTTATTTAAGACCCTAATTTTACCTATGTTTACAATTAATTAAATGAATTTGAATTTGAATAAAGGGTTCTTCTTAGACGAAAGGGTTGAGGACAGACAGTTTACAAAATGCTACATGATTGGTCAATTATGGCAACCCGGGTTAAATTCTTATTCTTGTATGACTCATGGGTCATACTCGCCTTGTTCTATTTGCTCACGTCTTTGCATTGTTCTCACATATGCGTACAGTATTGAAATGTGTATCAGAGATATTGTAGAACATACTTTTTAAAAAAGAGTTGTTAAAAAAGAGTTCTCCATTCGAATCTACATTTTGGAATGAGCACCTAGCTTCACCTAATTTCACTGACAGACTATTATTTATTTTGTATTTGTTGACGTTTCAATAGTACCAAACTATGGTTTAATTGAAATAAACGCTTTGACTTTGACTTTGACACGTAACTGTTTAACGGAGTAATAGGGTAAATAACAAATTTTTATTTTAATGTCGTTAATTTTAATGGCAATGGGCTCACCCCCTATTACATGGGACTCATAACATAAATAGTGAAATGTGGGTGTAACATTGTACAGTGGCATTAAGTGCCGTAATGTGCGCCTCTGTCTACCCCTTCGGGGATAAAAGGCGTGATGTTATGTTATGTCCGTCTGGTAAATCATTTAAACACATTAGACACATATTTTTTATTTTCTTACGGAAACAAATAGTTTCGAAAATATATTGATTTGAAATATCACATGACGTCACATTTGTGTACGATTTTTTTTATGGCATAAGCCGGTAAACGAGCAGACGGATCACCTGATGGTAAGCAATCGGCGTCGCCCATGGACACCTGGAACACTAGAGGCGTTACAAGTGCGTTACCGGCCTTTTGGGGATTAGGAGTTTGAGGATCGTTAGGGATTCAGGAATTGGGGTGATTGGGGAAGGGGAGGGTAATTGGGCCTCCGGTAACCTAACTCACGTAGTTGCACTCGCGTTGCTTCACGTAGGTTTTCTGTGAGGCCGTGGTATCACTCCGGTTGAGCCGGCCCATTCGTGCCGGAGCATGGCTCTCCCACACTTAAATTTATACTCTAAAATGACGTAGTTACCTCCCACAACTAAACTGTGATTCGTTTATAAAACTTTGATTTCTTATACGACAAAATAAAAAAATAAACGTCTTATATTTCTTCATTACCTAACTGACGGACTAAATAGATTTTTAATTTTCATACCCTGTCATCATCCCAATTCCACTAATGTCCAAATACTCAAAAGCTACTCAATATATCTTTATCACTACAAATACACTACGAACTACATATAACACTACAAATTCTTCGTAAAATGACAAAGATGGCACGATATTTAAGTATAACTAATTTGATTAGCCTTACAGTATTCGGGCGTAATTCCAAGTCACGCCAGGAGCAAAATTCAACGACTGCATTTATTAACAAACTAGTAGAATCATCTCGTCAAAGAATTACGTGAGTAAGCCGTAGATTAATATATATTTTGACTATTATTGTCGTACTTGAGTTGTAGTTTGAGATCCTTGATGAGTAGGTCCTGTTCCTGCAGCTTGGCGCGGCTGTGTTCCTTGTTGGCGGCGGGCTTGGTCTCGGCGCCGCCACTGCCGCCCTCCTCGCCCTGGGACACAATACATGCGCTATTGAGGAAACACTACCGTGTCGTGCCGTGAGGAAGGTCGCAACACGCTCAAGGAAGGTGATCTAAGGGCTTAGTACGAGTTTCTTTTTCGTTTAAAGTAATCGAAACGAGACGGCGTTCTGTGCTCTGATTGGTTTGTTCATTGGAGCCGGCCAATCAGAGCGCCGAACGCGTACTCGTTACGTTTACTTTAACTCGTCGAGTACCGGTTTTGCAGACACAATTATAGAACAATAGGTTGCGGTCACCGGTGACCGCTTGGTATTCGACAGTTTAAACGTAAAAGAAACTCGTACTAAGGCCTCTGCTTGGGCATAAGCAAGCACTAGCTTAAATTCGGAGTATAATACGTATAATATTATTACTATATTATTTATTTATTTTCGTAGTCCACAATCCGTCCAAATATTTCTTTTGCGTTATATCCACCCAAAGGTTGTCTGGTAGAAATCACTTTAAGTCATAAGACCGCCTTCGAGCCCATTATTATTTATTATTCATGTTAATTTAAAGATTATTCTATTCGATTCTATAAACCTTCCTCTTGAATCACTCTATGCACTATACGTTGCGTAGTTTTATACATCTCATCACACAGACAGAAGAAAAATAATCAGCCGAACATAGTACCACCTCCTTTATTTGGAGTCGGAAGGGCGACTTTGTTTCATATTGTGTAGTGATAAATGAATATACTTAAAAATAACAGGAAAAGGAAACCCAGAAAACCTTATTTAGTATGTTTATTCTGTACTTAAAAAAGATTCTTGTCGTCTACCCGACCGTAGTTTGCCAATAGTGAAATTATTTGAATCGTTGGCATATACTTTATTGGTAATACTTTAAGTGTTAGTTATATACCTCTGGATCAGGCTCCTCCTTCTTGAGTGCATGTGGTTTCTCGTCAGCGGCGTCACCTCCAATAGACACTCGGGCACCCGCCTCTTCTAACTCCTTCCGCACCTTCACAATACAGATATACGCTCAGTAAATATTTAATATATTATAACAAAAATACAAACCCACTCGCCCCAATATGGGAACTAATTACCCATTTCCATTTACTATAACTATTTATTAAAAATGTTGCCCATTTGCACAGACAAAAAGTAACATTCTTATGTGAATTTAAGGAAAATTTTAATAGTATCCAGCTATCCCAAATTGAAACCCTATAAATCCAAAGATCACGAAAATCAGTGACATAAATACTAAAATATAGACAAAGAAAGAAACAAATATCCTTCTATTCTTCTTTGACAGTACAGATACACTCGACTTTTACATACCTTATTTAATTCCTGACTAGTATCCTTGTATTTCCTCTTGTAGCGATGCACCTCGCCCTTGAGTTGTTGGTTGTGATTCTGTAGCGATGTGATGAGATGTCTCATCTCCCGGTTGATGGGTCCAGTCTGCTCGTTCGCCGCCAAGTTCTGCTCGAACTCGATACGTAACATCTCATATTCTTTCCTTAACTGACCTAATACATCTTCTAGTTGTATCATTTCAGCTCTTAATGTCTTCTGCCGTGAGAGTTCTTCACTCTGGAAGTAAAGTTATGGTATTAAAAAATACTAAACGTATGTACCTAGACTATAATAGATTATGTTGTACAGCTAACTCTGTTGGACTATATCGGTAAATAAATATGTAAGACAAATCCTCCGCTAACCGTTGTTACGCATTAATAAGATACCTGGGTGCTTACTCTTACTCTCAAACCAATCTCAATGTCAATGCAATTTCAATTCAATACAATCTCAATTATTATTTAATGTCTAAACTATACAACCACAGTCGTAACTGTTAATGTTGCATTATAAAGCCAAACTCTATACCATTTAGTTCATTCAATATTCAAGCATGCAATATACGTATTCAATGGGCTCTAACTCAAGAGTACGAAATTTCACAATACCATTGTCGATCGATTGGAATTGGATTCAAGAGTGAGACTTCCCCTGAGGGGTTAATTATGTCACTGCTTGAAACGGTGACTCGATTAAATTCAAGCTATTCCAGGAAGTCATAGTCATGAGTAGGTTTGAGTGACAAATAACGCGAGCCGTAGCTTGAAACTGCTAAGAGTCGCCTCGTTAAACAGTGACGTGAATAAGCAAACAATATAATTCATGATTATTTAGGGAACAGAGAGTATAGTTCCCTAAGATCAGAAAAGGAGGATCCTCCGACCAGGCGAGGTGATCGTGACTGACGGGCTTTCTGCCCAACAGTCGTTCGTTGGGATTTTCTATCCGTGTTAATTCGGTTGTAAACTTTGCATGTGCGATGTAGGATTTTGTGACGTCATCCGTTGATTTGTTTTGAGCTGTCATGCTGTCATTTGACATGTTATATTGTTATATTACATACATAGAAATAATAATGCGAACAAACCTCCATCATTTCAATCTGTCTCATGTGTAAGTTTTTAGCGTTCTGTAGTTGCATGCGAGTCTCGTCGAGTGCAGTCTTCATCTGCATGGACTCGTTGTACAGCACTGAGAACTGGCTCTGTAGACACTTGTACTCCGTCGTCTCCACTATCACTGACTCCGGTAGCTGGCGGATCTGGTACAAACATGTTTATTAATTCACAGTTCATTCTAGTAAGGTTGTATCACTTTTTACATATGCGCACTTAAATATAGCACCCAAAGAACTTAGGACTGTTTTTCACTATATGCATAAGGTAACAAAAACACTTGGAAGGTACTCACATCCATCTTGAGCTTCTCGACCTCCTTGAGCGTGTCGCGATGTTGCCTGTGCAGGCGGTCGAGCTCGGCGAGGCGGTTGTTGGCGAGCTCGCGCTGCTCCTCCAGCTCGGCCGCCACGTCCTCCAGCTTGGCCGCCGCCACGGCGCCCGCCGCCGCGCCCGCGCCCGCAGAGCTCGCCGCCGCCGGCACCGCGCTCGCTCCCGACTGGTGGTAGCTCTTCAACTTCTCTATGGCCTCCGCCAGGTGATTCTCCAACTTATCGTTACGGGACCGCACCTGTTACAAATATAATGAAATCATTACCTAATGTGCGTCTAAATAGTAAAAGTTCAAAGGCAAAAATATTCTGTAATCAATCCAAGCCAAAGCCGACGCAGACAAACGAACCTTCATAAGCTCATATTGTAGATCATCAATCTGGTTCTTCAGCTCTGCATTCTCAGTATCTCTGCTGTTGACAGCATCCTGTAGCTGCGCCACTCTCAGAGTCATGGCGTGGTGACTCTCATGCAACGTCGTGCATAGCGCTTGTAGGCGTCGGTTCTCAACTGTCACTTCCTCATTGGTGGCGCGTATCACATCATCTAATGATGGGGCTGGAGCTGATTCTGAAATAGGAATTAATTAAAAAATATAAACACAAGGTCATAAATTCACGAGTACATTAAGTGTACTTCACAGGGAACTGATCATCAAAATGATCATCCTGATAATCATCATATCAGCGACAAAATGTCCACAAACGTAGGCTTCCGAAGTTGTTATGATACACAATCTCAAACCTCAACATTGTACTCAGGATCCAGAGTACTTTATGTCAGATTCATGTCAGATATGTGAGTATAGCCATGATATCAAAAAACTAAAAAGTAAAACAACTAAACAAAAGGTTTCTAGGCTTTATAATAGATTAATGAACCATCTTACCCTCACTCTCGCCCTTGATAGCTCTCCAGATCTTATCATTCCTCTGCTGCAGGCGGTCGAAGGCTTGTAACACCTTCGCAACCGCTCGCTTGCTCACTTGTACCCGATTAGCCAGCTGAGCGTCCAACTCCTCCTTGTCCCATGTAGACAGCTGCATGAGGAACGAAGTTGTTGCTTCATTTTCATCTACAAACAAGCAAACATTTGATTAATTAATTTATTCATTAATTAATTACATGCTTTTACGAAACAAACAATTATAACTAATAGTAGAATATTAAATTATTGTTTTAAAAGCGAGTTTAAATGTTTCGCTTGAAATAAGGTAGTTAAATTGAAATATCATAACACAATAATACTTAGCCTAGGTTATCATAATCATATCTAAGCTTGGTATAGCTTTACTTTTAATAATGTTAATATCAGCCTCTATTAAAAACTCTATGATACTTTCATAATTTTGATTAAACTCAAAACCTCAAATTAAGCCATTAACACATTACAGAAAAACCACAAACAAAAACTAGATGAATGATGTGCATTAACTACAGTCAACTTAATTTTCACATACAAATAAAATGTGTAGTTATCATACAATAGCATTGCCAGTGGCCTTCACCTAGTAATAAACAATTAATTATATGAGTCCCACCCTAGTTTCTGTAACACAACTACATGTGAAGTGTTGCAATTAAAAATATTACTTCATTGTTTTACTGCAACTGCACTGTTAAACTTCCAATGACGAAGTAAAAGAAATCATTGAAACTCCATCATCATCTATCAGTTACAAGACATCCACACCTGATCAATGACTGTTAGATAGGCCAGTTGGAAACAACCAACATTCCCTATACCTACATTCACAGACACAGAGAATTAGGCTAATAATTCTATTGTAATACAAATTATGTAACCTGAAATCCTTAGAGTTGACTGTGGCTTCACTAAAGCGCACCTGTACTTATTACTAAATCAAAGTATTTTACACGACTGAACACTGGTCCCCAAAATACAAGCATTCAGCTTAGTATGGGTATCAGTACAACTTACTAGTATTAATTGTAAAATATGTTCCTATTGTGATAATTCTAAGTAAGAAGCTGTAATATTATTTGTCAATAAATAATTGTTATTATTACATTATGTGCGTCTTTACCCACGGGGCCATACACAGGACCACAGGGTCTCGGTCATTTGGGAAGCGTACAAGAAGCAGCCAACTGCGCAGAGGCCCTTTAGACAACTTTAATCTTAATGCAATTGGACACAAATCATTATTATATAGTCTGTCCTTAACTGACCTTAACCTTAATCCTTAAAATTGAGTTACTTTATACTTGGCCCCATTATTCATGAAAAAAGTGAAATAATGACAAATATTCTTAATATAAACATCACAAGACACATTTTAGTCTCTTCTTAGTTCAGAATATTGTAAAAAGGAAAAGTAATACCACATTTCAACAGTATCCTTTTTGGCCCTTAGTGTAATGCATCTTTAAGTAATTAGGTACATAATACATGATATTGCTTAAATAATAAGTTATGCAAAATTGAATAAGGATTATATCAGACCAATTCCCGAATACTAAAAGAATAGTCAATTTTAAATCGCGTTTAATTATAGTTCCGTCAAATTCTTTGTAAAACGACAAAGATGACATGATATTTAAGTCCAACATAAAATTGATTAGCCTTTCAGTACTCAGGCATAACACCATATATTAAACCATCTAATGATTTTATCTCCATATTAATTAACTGTTAGTACCTACAACTTACATGATTCCCATTTTAGCATTAAAAGAATGTGAAATATCATGTTTTGTTTTCACAGCATGATGACTAATGAATACTGTTAGCTATTGATCAACCAATAAGATTAATTCATTCAACAGTTATAACAGACTAACATTCATTCTTATCCTTACAATAATATTACAGAAACAAGTGTGTTTGTTTGCATTTCTTGATGATTTTTGGTCTAGACATAACTAGTGAGAAAGCCATAGGTGTCTTTCCTCATTTGACTAAATACATAAACATGCAGTTAACAACTATTATGATATGACACAATAACACTTACTTTTATTTTCTGATTCATCTGCAGTTTCTGCATCGAAACGCTGTAATAATACTCTAATATCTTCATTGAGGAGATTCCAATACCGATTGACAACACAGAGCACTGCATCATCCTGTGTTTGACGTTTCTCCAGTTGTTCAATCCTGGCACGGAGTTCTGCCTCACATCTATGGCGCTGTTCAATCCTCTGGAAGAATAAACATTTTATTGCGGTTAGTTTTCTGGCTTACTAAGAAATAAGGTTTTATAATACAATATCAGCAGAAATTTATACTTTATGTCACCTATAGGCTCATAAAAGTTGCTATTATGATGACTATTGATACATTCTGATATACATTCATTTGTTTTTAATCTTCCAAGACATTACATAAATAATGTTTAGATTTACTAAGTATAGACAATTTACATTGGTAGATATAAATACCAAGTTCAGATCAAGTTTGAACCATAATTTAATACAATGTAAATGTCTGTACTTCAGAATATATTAAATTTCTCTTCCTCTTGGGTCATGACCTATCAACACAAAAGAAACCAAACAATAAAATATCAAAATAGATCTCTATACTAACAAAACGAGGATAAGTAATGAGTTTACATGACTTAATCATGTACTTTTTAATGCCTCAAAACATTAAACTAACTACATTGTTGTCATTGTCCATAAATATCATGTAATTGGGTGTTGATAAACAGCTGATCATGACATGTTTAACACTCACTAGACCTGCAAAATAATGTAATATATGTGTAATTAAACATGCATAATAAATACCTGAGCCAATTTCTTGTTTTGAAACTGGAGAACCTTTATGTCCATTTCCTCTAGAGTGGACACAGGGCCAATAAGATGGGGTTCAAAGTGAACCTTCTTGATTGGAGGCTGGCTACTGCCATTACCAGCATCGTCTGCCGCTCGTTTAGACATTTTGACCTAGAATGAAACCAAGAAAAGTGAAATCCGCAATCCTAAAATTATGTATGTAGTCTTGTTACGAAAACTATTGATCAATATAACCCGATCAAGTTAAAAAGAGGTTATAAGCAGAAAATTAGGGAGACAGCCGTGTTCTTTTCGCTTTGGTTGCGTTATATACATACCTGCTTGTCAATATTGACACTCTCGTAAATTGTTGTTAATTCAAGTGCATAAGCAGGGAATTCATATATTTACAATAATCTATAATAACTATCATTTTGCTAATGAAAGCAGAACAAAACAAACTGATAGCCCAAGCTCCGCCCGAGATATTGCCAACCTACTCGATGGCAAAGAGTATAGTAATATATAGGGTACTCGATGGCCTTCGCCTCGCACGTCCTCGTCCGAGTAGGCACTAGTGTTGTTCTTAGTATTACTAATTAAATAAACGGACGCGGACCTGGTTTAAAATTATCCTTGTTATCATTTTTTAATTTTTTATTTATTTTATGTATTTTGTATTTTTCATTTTGTTAACTGAATACTATTCTGAATTTTAGTAGATTTTCAAAAAAATATAAATAAATCTTTATTAAACAAACTATTGTCTATGTCTTTATAATATTTTTGAATCTGGCGTGATTACTGCCCCCTACTTGTAAACTTTTCTAACATGCGTGATATTCTCAAAATATAACTTACAAGAACTTTTTCTTTCTCAGGTGTACTTCTATCGCAGGCCCTCAGATTCAGACCCATAGATTGTTGAGATCTCTTGTGATAGTTATGGTACCTTTTCGCAGGCCTTTTCGTATAAATAAAGTGGAAAAAATCTGTGTAATTTCGTTATTTATTTGTAGATAATAGAATTTATTACCTATTTACTAAAATATCACCCTGACATCCGAAATAATTAATACATACAAAATTAATGTTGTTACAGATTTGAAGTCATAATAGTCTTGTATTTCAGCTGGTCTTGGAACATTCTTAGAAAGACTCTATATTTCTTATCATGATATATTTTTGTGCTTAAATTAGGCTGTATGACTTCTGCTGTTCCGCCCATATTTTCTATAGCATCCTGTACATTAATGAAGTGCTGGGAAGCACAGGCTCCTAGTATAGCAGAGCCAACTAGTACAGAATCTTTTTCATTGGGCTTCAGGATAGGAAGACCCATACAGTCAGCTTGAGTCTGGACGAAGAGTGGATCTTTCGTAATACCGCCACAAATAAGCAAAGATTTAAATGGCTCGTACCCTGCCAAAACAAGCGCCTCAACAATGTGTCGTGTGCCATACTGAAACAATATACAAGACCAGAATATTAAATATAAGAATAAAAATATTTCACTTTATATTATGGTCCACTAAACCATTTCCATAACGTTCATGCTGTTGTTAAAACACCCTATATTTTTAAATAGTATAATAATATGTAGAAAATGACAATGATGTGAAGAATAAATTTATGTTATATAATGCTGCATGTCATTTACAATAGTGACAATAAAGATATCGGTAGTCTTTATGTTTATCTTTATCAACACTTTATTTACCTTTTATGGCGAATGTATCTACAGTATATTACACATAATTATTTGTCTAGCATATTGAAGTACTCACTGATAGAGCTTGCATAGTGGCTAGGTAAAGTAAGGCTAAGTTAGCTTCACTGTTGTCTATAGATAGTCCACAGATCATTCCTCTCATCGAAGGGTCGGCTAACGGTGACCGATTGCCATGAAAATCAGGCCAAACATGAATGTCTTTAGTTAAATAACTGACATCGTTATGTCCTTCCAATCTTGCCATTTTTGAGAGTAAGCCCCTCAAATGGTTGCGGGTACTGTAAACCAAACATTTGGTAATTAAATATAATATTTGCTTACAGGATAGTGTAATTAAAAATAGGTTTGTAGTAAATTAATTGTTGGTAACTTACTCGCCTGGAGACATGGCTTTAAGCAGTTCAGCCCCAGCAGGGTGACTTGATATTATATGGTCCAATAACATTCCAGAAGCACTTTGTCCAGCCTCATTCAACCACATACTTGGAACCATTGCACTGTAATATGGTCCCCACACCCCTTGGACGAGAACAGCCTTCTTATTCACAGCCATATGACATGTAGAAGTCCCACAGATTAGACCAAGACGGGAAGACATGTCCTTATCTATTCCATTACCATGGGTACCTATCATGCCCAAACCTCCAGCATGTGCATCTATAATGGAAGTAGCAACTGGAGTACCAGGCCGTAGTCCCAATGCATTGGCAACCTCTGCTGTTAGACCACCACAGAGTTCACCAGGCATTAGGACTTTGTTTCCAATCTTCTTAAAGTTATCTGCAGCTAAGTCTTCTAATCCAATCTCTCGTAAGAATTCTGTATTCCAACCCTGTTTCCCTTCTATAGAGCATTCATAATTCCATTTACAAACCAAAGAGCATAGGGAACGGCTTAATGAACCAGTAGCTCTCCATGTAAGGAAATCTGGTAGATCAAAAAAGTATCCATAGTCATCCCATTTATTTGGAAGATGTTTCTTCAACCAAAGTAATTTCGGCATTTCCATTTCAAGACTCACTTTTCCACCAACATATTTCAGTATATCATGGTTAGTTTTATTTATCGTATCTGCCTCAGTCTGCGCTCTGTGATCCATCCACATGATAATATTTTGTTCATTGTTGTTTGTGCCAACAGAGAGTGGATTGCCATGTTTATCCAAAGCTACCAAGGAGCATGTGGCATCAAACCCAATGCCTTTAATACTTGTAGGATTAACATTTGAAAGAATATTCTGAAAAATAAGATCAACTGTTAATATTTACAGCTAAACTGCCTCATGTGCACATCTGTATAAAGTAGTTGTGGGTAAATAAGTTTAGAATAAATTGATGGACAGTCAAACAAAACACTCAATACTCACTTTTATGACAAACACACAGCATTCCCAGATATTATTGGATGATTGTTCATAATAATCAACTTTAGGTTTCCATGTCTGAATTTCCTTAACACATGAATTGAGGACATGACCTTTGTCATCAACCAACGCCGCTCGTACGCTGCCAGAGCCCACATCCACCCCAAGGAAATAAATTTCTTTGCTCATTTGGAAGTAGGTATGTGATCTGCATGATTATAAAACAAAACAACTTTTATACATTTGGAATGAAAAATGTTAGTAAATAATGATCATTTGATAAACAACGGTAATAATATTCACCAAGTAAAATAGAGAATGCTCCAAATCGAGAAATACGTACGTTTCAAGAGTGAATGTTGCACTGACGACGAATAAAGCCAATTGATAAAACGGCCTTGGCGTTGTTATGATACTTTATCAAGTAATAAAACTAAGTCTCACGAGATAACCTTGTTGTCCTCTGAACTTTATTATAACCATAATATATCCAGCAATGTTCCGTGCAACTGAGAAATATTGCATTGTCAACTTAACTAATGTTATAAAAGGACTATGGACAAAATTATACTGTCTGTTTTCTTATCCAATAAATACTTATAATTAATACCTAATTCTAATTTAATTTCAATAAAATAACAATATAAATTAACAAAACTTAGTATTTCAATTCTCCCGCTTCGTCTAGCAGAAACGTCAATAGACTGCAAATGCAAATGTCATTGTCATCAAGTAATGAAGTGACCCTATTAATGAAAATGACGATTTGTTAAATAGTAATAATAATAATATATTTATTTGCCTAAAACATGATATAAAATAGGTGTTAGAAAAATATGGTTAAAGTGCAACATATTTTGTTAGTATTTCTATAGCGTGCAAAATCGGGAAATGTTCAAAAGTAATCCTAGGCGTGAGGTTTCTCTGCATGAAATCACTAACAGAATTATAAAAGTTTAGTTTTAGTTTTGTTCATTATGCCATTTGTGCAATTTACGCTTAACTAGGTACATTTAAATTAACACAATTCATCATTCCGTTCGGTATATTATTATAGGTACGGATACGGATCTATAGAGTAGTGTACACAGTTCAATGTTTACACAAATAAATAGTAGCTAACTTTATCTTACTAACTACTACTTTATCTTAGTCTTACAATGTTAATTTATATTCATAGAAATACAAGTAATTACAACACTAAACAAAAGTATATGTTATTTGATTGCTTCCACTGATATGTGCTTGCTTCTCTCTGAACATCGTGATCTCTGGGTACAGAAAGCCGACTTCTAGTGTCATAAAATAATGACATTTTTGATGACTATGACTATTAAGCTTTTATATTTTATTTTAGTACCATTAGTGTGTACGCTAAGGCTTATCCAACCTTACCATAGAAAAAAATACATTAACGATAACTTGGCAACCAATAATTAAAAAAATATTTTGTCACTCCCTAGAATTGTCAAGTCAATGTCATGTCATTACGATATTGTTGTTTTTGTCGTGATTCACGCCGTGATTGTTTTGATTTCAAATTTTCAACTATTTTAATAAATGCCATATTTTCTTAATTGACTTGTACAGCAATGGTTCGTTTTAAAAATAGGTAAGTTCTTTTATAATAAGATAAACTAACATTTATGTAACCTAATTTACTCATCACTCATGTGGTTATGAACATACCTACTGTTTTTTGATTGTACTGTTTATATTTATTTTCCAGATATATCACTGTTGAGATAGTAGCTCCTTTAATACCAGACGACAAACCACTTGAGTTAAAACCGAAGATATTCCACAACACTGTTCTAAGTAAAATTCAACAGATGTATGGTGATTTTGGTGTTGCTGCTGTCACAAATGGATTTCTCACAAAATATTGCAATGAACATACAAGAATAGCTATAATAAGATCAAGACATGGACCACACAGATTTGTCACTAGTAGTCTTCCATTCATTACTAAAATAGGTAATCTTGATGTTAGGCTGAATACATTGCATGTCGGTGCCACACTAAAACATTGTTTTAAGTTCATACAAAAGCATCAGAGAGCCTATTTAGATACAACGTGGTGTAAATTAAAGACTGATGAAGAAAGGCGAAAGTTAGAAGCTGCTGTCCTAGACTATACAAAAACAGATGTTGCTATAAATATAGAAAATATTACATGACAATGTCTTTAATTTACCTAGATTTTTTTATATGCATGTTTCGAATTCCATGTATTGTATCTAACCTCTGAATGGAACCCCTGAGACAGATAGCCAAACATTCATGACAGTGATAATGAAGTCATCATACTTTTAATATTCTTAAAAACACAAAATGTATACCCAAAAACATAAAAGAGAAGAACATAATAACTACTTATCACGGAGTTACCTATACAATTAATAATACATTATACTTTTTAAACTGTCAAACACCAAGCGGTCACCGGTGACCACAACCTATTGTTCTATAATTGTGTCTATAATGACGGTACTCGACGAGTTAAAAAACTGATGAGACCCTTTTTTTTTCGAAGTCACTAAAACCTCCTAAGTGTAACAAATACTTATTGAAAACCACATCAAAAACTGTCCAGCCAATTGCGAGATAATCGCACACAAACATACATACAGGTCAAACTAAGATAATTTTTAAAATAACCTTTATTGATTCAATTTCATTTAATTACAAAAATATAGCACTTGATTACATTTTGATTAACTATTTCTCTGAGTATTTTTAAAATAAATTTTCTTAATCTCTATGTACGTACTTATAGCACTTATTCTAGACTAGTCCCAGGCGAGAGAAGCCATTCAATGATTGCCCCACCCCATAATAAAATAGCACTTATTCTAATGTAACTATTATTGCATATCCAGTTCCTTTTTTAATTTTATTTACACGGTATATTTTTATTTATTTATAATATATCTTTATTTCCTTAAATCTAAGACTGGTTAAACGACATAAATGTTAATCACTTATCTGGATTCGTGGGAACTTGTAAGTAAAGCTTTTTTGTCAAAGTTGACTGAAATAGAGGCACTTGGGTACATCCCACCTTTTGGCATATAAAATTCACATTATTATTGACTTTAGTGAAAATATCATAGACATGTTCATTATTAGCAAACTTCCTTATTGTTCTACATAGTACCTGTATGAATATTGACCCTCTTTTTTCATTTCTGTATGCTTCTAGTTCAGGTGCAGTGGCATAGTAAACAAGGAAGTTAGACTTCCTTAAATTGTAATCTCTCGGGCTGTCAGCCACTAAAATCTGGGGAGTATTTTCATCAACTTGGCAAGCTTGAACTATCAAAAGCTTGGGAATGCTGTGTATATTTTTAGCTTCATCAGAGTCCAGTAAATTCTGAATATCATCCATTTTAACTTTCACAGAATCAGCTGCATATACCTGGCCCTTTACTCCATGAGACAGTATGCACAGCATAAAAATGCTGTCATTCTTGCTGACTTTATGTTTGACAACATTCATTATGAACTGCATCATCTTTTTATGGTCCAAATCTGTTTCAGAGAAAACGGTAAAGTTTAGTTCACTCATAGTCTTTTCTAGAATCATCTTATCCTTGTCGGAGCCAATTCTTGTATCTAGTGTAATATTTCCATTTAATTCAATGCTGTTCTTGGATGGATAAAATGTTTCCTGATTTATGATGACACAAACTCCAACCCTGTTGTTACTCTTGATTTCATAGCTATCATTGTCCAGTAGCTTCCTATCAGACTTCAGAGATTCTTGTGCTCTTTCATCCAACTGCAATTCCCCAAGCATTTCAAAAACATCATTAAAGTCCATATTGTAGTAATTGTCATCAGCTTTCCCTTGATTTGTTTCATCCACTTTCATATGTTTCATTATAGGAGTACTGGTAGCAACTGAGGCACTTGGTTTGTGCTCATCATTCAATGATTGTTGCAACATATTGATCTCTAAAAGCAGTTTCTTCAGTCCCGGCAGGTTGTCTAAAATCTTGACAAGTTTGTCTATTTCCACTTTAAAGCCCAGAACCTTTTTGTTGTATTGGTATTGATTAATTGTTATAAATTTGTCACACATGAGCTTTAGAAAAACTTGTTCACAACATTCATATTCTGTAGTGTCAGTCTCATAAGTTAGGAGAGCTTTTTTAAGTTTCAGAAGATTGTCAGAGTTAATGCTTTCACATAATTTGTATAAGGCTTTTTTCATGGGGTTTATGTACATTTTTACAGTTATGGAGTCCGTTTGATAGTACCTGCGTGCTGCAGGGACATTTAATCCTAGTTTTCTGACAATACTATACAGTTGACAGATAAGCAGAGCTTCTACAAATTCATGTTTCCAGTTGGGGTTGTGCTTAGCATGTCGAAACCACTCGTGTAGCATGTTCAGATTTATAGAGTTACTGGCATCGTTGGAAACGCGTTGAAAAACAATCAAACGTTGTAGTGCTGTGTCCGGTACCTCATAAAGAAGAAACACAAGAGATATCAAGTCGCCGGGGTTATCTTGTAGTTCTTTTTCAATTTCTGACATCATGTCAATATTCGTAATATCACTGTCTCCAATAACATTTTCCACTTCTAATCTTTGTGGTGTTGTGCTTGTGCTAGCACTGCTAGCAACAGAGTCTACAGAAAACATTTTCTGGTTCTAATTATTATTTCACGATAAATAAGCAAACTAAAAATATAGTAATATGACACTGTTATAGCGTACAACTTTATTCTTATTCAATAAAAAACAGAGAAAAACATTTTACAAACGTTTTATAATGTACTTCAACTTTCAATGATGACAATAGTAATAGTGATGCGACATTCGATAGACCCCGAAATCGATTATTTGATAAAATAATATTAAAATCTTTTGAGTTTCATTAAAATTGTATTCTGCTATCCTTTTTCTATGGTAATATCTTCTAAAAGTGTAACTATTGACATGGGCAAACTGTAAACCAAAATATTGTGGCTCTATCTTCTTGAAGTTGGATGAAGTCATGTAATAATGTTATAGACTATACCTAGATATTATTAATTGGTAAGGTTTTGAAGAGAATTTTATGAACCTCAAAATTATGTCTTTGAAATTTTATTATTTCTTGTAATTAAAATTACATTAAGTAAAAAAACATTGATTTATTTTGATTATCCCTCAATGTAATTTATTATTGATAATGACGAGCTTCTGCTACTTCGCTCTCGTCGCTGGATAAAAATTCCCTTTTGTTATTCAATCAAATCAAATTAATTCATTTTTGTACCAAATTTCATACAAATCCTTCCAGTAGTGAATGAAGATCCAGTAGGAATTAAACGAGGAATTAAGCGTAAAATAGCTTAAACGAGGCTGCACTAAGGTCGGCACTAGAAATAAAGAACATTATTAGGTACCTACATAAAGATAAGCGTGTTCTTAGAATAAATAGTCAATATTTATAAATACTGAATAAATATACTATATTTTTTTATGTACAGTTTACCGGAAATGCAAGGCACATTATAAACTATACAAAATATAGTTTTATAATTCATTTAATACGTATGGTATTAAATTATGTTATTATTTTCATAATATAGTATATAGAACTATCCATAGTGGCATAGTTCATTTATCGAAGAAGGTTGTAGGCTATGAAACATCGCGATACGATCAATAGGCGGTGAGCAAAGTGGGTGAAGCCACGCAGAAATGTTAGTTTAGAATTAAATTGTTGTTTCTCGTAGTCGCTCGTTAAATGAATTCGATGGGCGATTTTTGTATATGAGTATTTAGCCGTTTTATACGAGTATTTATTAAAAAAACGTGGATGAATACCCAGAATTTACTCAATGTTTATCCATTTTCAGTATTTGTTCGAAAAATCTCCCATCTCTAGTCAGATTAGAAGTAGAGATGGGCGATAGTTCAAATAAATACTCAAAATAAGTAATTAAGAAGGCAAGTGAACGATGATAAGAAAATACCGATATTAACAATCGATACTTCAGTAGTACATCACTAGCCTCAGCTGGCTGTCAATGATATGACTGGTCTGGGGATTCCCAGTAACAGGTAGCTCCCCTAAACGGAAACCATACCTAAAACTCTTTGTGGGAAATGTTGTGTAAATAAATGATAATCATTGTTACATTGTGATTGAGAATGTAAATAAAAGTTAAAGTCAAAATCATTTAGTACAATTAGACCAGGAAGACACTTCTGAACGTCAACAAAAAAAGGAAAAGTGAAGCTATTTGCTCTTTTCAAGGTGTAGATTCATTAGGAAAAGAACGAGCAACTCGATTGTGAAGGAAAAGTGAAGCTATTTGCTCATTTCAAGGTGTAGGTAGATTCCTATGGAAAAGAACGAGCACTTACTCTTTACAAGTTTGCAATATAATTCTCTAGTTACTTAGTTTTGTTTGTTCGATTGTGTGAGAATATTGTAACACCAAAATATAGTCAAAGACCTTGAAAAAGAAAATAACTTAAAGGACAATAAATCATATTTAATTCTGTATATTGCATGACAAATTATTTTTAGGTTCAAGACTGAAATTATTGACTGATTTCAATCCTAATTAATTTCTGTTTTTTTATGGCATAAGCCGGTAAACGAGCAGACGGATCACCGGATGGTAAAGCAATCTGCGTCGTCCATGTCCATGGACGACGCAGATTGCTTTTCGTTACAAGTGCTTTATGGGCTTATTGGGGATTAGGAGTTTGAGGATCTTTGGGGATTCAGGGATTGGGGAGATTGGGGAAGGGCAGGGTAATTGGGCCTCCGGTATCACTTTGGTATCACTCTGGTCGGGCCGGCCCATTCGTGCCGACACATGGCTCTCCCACACTTAATTATTATTGTCAGGACAAAATGCTAAAGTAACAAGCTGTCAGACTGTAACATCAGTCAATGTCAAATGTCAGATGTCACCATAAAAGAATGACTATCTGTCAACAGCAATATTCATTGCGATGATTCCGATTATAAGAATTTTTAAATAAAATCGCAATATTAATTAAAGGTTAACATAGAGAAGAAACCAGGAATTAATGAAATTATTGAAACATTGACGCTTGGTGTCAAATTTTAGTTATCATGCAAATTACAAGAACGGAAATCCTGAAACTTTACAAAAATCTTATGTTGTATTCGAAGTCACTGACATTCACTGATCCGGCGTACTTTAGACGGAGAGTGGCCACGGAATTTCGTAATAATAAATCATTAACTAAAGCTAAAGATATTACATTTGCGTACCAGGTAGTGTATTGAACTATCTAATCACACCACATTATTTTGTGTTTAATACTATTATCTTTTTCATAGTTTTTGTTTATCGGATTCATGTGTTACTGAACATTTGTTACTATGGCCTATATCCTGCCATTCTAAACTATGGACCCATATGTTTTGTAACACAATAAGTTCTCATGTATTGTTAGGCTATTATGTAAGTAGATAATAATCAATTGTCTAATTTGATTTCTTATTTAATCGTTAATTATTTCAGAAAGGAGAAGCTCTGTTGCGCCGAGGTGCTGTGGTGTAAAATGCTGCTCAACCCACTGGGCCGCCTGCATGTGGGTGTTGTGTCCCGCATGTGTACGGCATTCAAACACACTATAGACTACTCCAAGGTCCCTAAAATCAATGAAAGTGATTTGTCAGAGCAGTTTGTTAGAGGCAGTGGACCTGGTGGCTCTGCTGTCAACAAAAATGCAAATTGTGTTGTTCTTACACATATTCCTACAGGTAATGTAATAAATTAAGTAGGTAATTAAAAATTACCCAATAATCAGTTTTAGGACTGATTTAATGTTTAACTGCCTCGTTGGCCGAGTGGTCGCAAGTGCGGCTGCCGGGCAAGGGGTCTCGGGTTCGATTCCCGGGTCGGGCAAAGTATTACTGGATTTTTAAAAAATTCTTAGTAGTAGCACGGAGTCTGGAAATGTGTCCGGTATATGGCAATAGGCTCACCCCCTATTACCCCTATTACATGGGACTCATAACATAAATAGTGAAAAGTGGGTGTTACTTCTGTGTGCACCTCTGCCTACACCTTCGGGGATAAAAGGCGTGATGTTATGTTATAATGTCTAACCTGTTGTGTGTCTAAACGTGGATCCAAGCGAGACACATATTTTCTATTGTGTCTCATATACGGGCATTCAAGCAGTCAATGTTCCTTTACACTAAGCAAATTATATAATTATGCTTTATATAAAATAATTCTTTACATTTTACAGGTCATGTAATAAAATGCCACACAAGTAGATGCCAAGATGAAAACAGGAGCAGGGCTCGTGAGATGCTAGTTACAAAGTTAGATGAAGAGCTGAATGGAGAAGATAGTGTGACAGCACAGAAGAGAAGATTAGAAAGCAATAAGTATAAAAAAACAGAATATAAGAAAAAGAAAATGGCACAATTAAAGAGTGAGTGGAAGAAACGGGAAGGCTTGGCCTAAAGCCTTAGATACTGGATTGTAATGTACATAATGTAAAACTAGTTGTTCATAGTTGTTAGATTAAATAAGCAATAATGTGTGATATGAGTTTTCTTTTTCAGATTTGTATGTTCCAAAGATAAAGTCTGCATTATTAGATTTAATAATTCCTTCTTAATTGTCTATGTCTGATTTAAAGGTACTGGTTTGAAAATGAGGTACTCCCAGCACCCCTGTTACCATCTGAGGAGTTGGAGGTATACATTTGTGATGGGAGGTTATTCTATGGGCTCAGTACAGTATTTTTTCTAAAACATTTGTATGTTGAGAGTTTTGTTTTGATGTTTTGATAAATAAAGGATTTTTCCCTTTCCACTCACTTTATTATCAAGTAAATGCTAGAAACATAAATTGCATAAAAATGTTACATAATCGTAAATAAGGAACAAGAATTATCAATCATCTGCTGTTCTATTTTTTAGTTTATTTGTGATAGAGTTGACATGTTCTTTTAATATTTGCTGAATAGTTGAAAGTTCCTCACATTTGACTGGTAAAGGATTCCCATCTAAAATAACTTTCATGAGGCCACATAACTTCTGAGTACTATAAATCATTTGGTGCTCAACGACATTGAGTAGTATTTTTAAACTTTGGTATGTCAAGTTGTTATACGCCAAATTCAGATAACTCAGTGTCAAGTTACCTATACAGAATGGGTAGTCGTCAATAATCTTAAAACTCGTAGTTCCAAATGGATCCTCAAATGGTCCCAGTATATCTTTGGCCATCATCTCTGCCTTTATATTCTGCCAGGTATTGTCTTGTGTGACGTGTTTTATTTTTTTTACAACTGTTTTATGTCTATTGTGAGATTGGTAAGAGCCTTCTCTGGATGAAAGTGTTGTATGTGACATTAATTTTCGTTTAGATTTCTCTCGTTTTAATATGTTAGTTGTTAGTGTTGTAGTGTTAAGTTTGTTAATACATTCTGCGTATATTTCTTGCTTCTTTTTCAAGTATAAGATGTATCGTCGTCGCCTTTCCACGTTTTCGTCGTGAGTTAGCGGGAATTCTAACAAATGGCGAAATATGCAGATTGCACCTTCGTCGCCGATAACATTATCAGCTAAATTCAAATATCGCAAATGTCTATTAGTTCTTAGGGCGTCTGCCAAATATTTTGCACCTTCATCCCCTATTTTGTTAGACGTTAGATTCAACGTGACTAAATGATTCTCGGCAAGTTCTGTATAGCGTAACATTGCGGCTATCTCTTTGCATTCTGGATCGCTTATGTTACATCTGCATAGTGATAGATTCTTAACAATTGTTGGGGCTTTTAATATGACTTCGTAGTTGGCATTGTTTAGTTTACAGTCATCTAAACATACATCAGTGATGGCAGAATAAAGAAGCATACTTTTAAAGTCGTGCACAATATTATGATCGATGTAACAGTTTTTAATTTCAAACTTGGTTAACAGTGGGTAGTTAGCGATTATGTTGGATAAGACTTGAATGATCATTCTCGGTACCATCACCTCTTGGGAGTTAGTGATCATTAATTCTACAAGATGGTGTTGGACATCATACACAGCTTTCATTGCTAAATAGATATGTTTAGGTTCTTTCTGTGTATGCTCCATTACTATTGATACCGTGTGCAGCGTCGCCGGAGTGACTGTTGTTTGCTTGCGTTTCACTATGTAGACTATATTTCCTGATGCACTCTTGCCCCCTGACAACGGAACATTATAATTATTACACATCACGCCTTTTAATTTTTCGATGAGTAGGTCATGTTCACTTTTCACGAGTCCTGGAGTCCCATATAATAGGGGTGAGTTTATTGCATAGGATCCTACCTACACCTTTTTTAAATATACAACTAGATTATTAGTAATTGGGCCTCCGGTATCCTCACGACGAAACACAACGCAAGCTTTGCTTCACGTCGGTTTTCTGTGAGGCCGTGATATCACTCCGGTCGAGCCGGCCCATTCGTGTCTACACTTAAGTGTTCTCTTACCTAAGGGTTTATTCAGCAGAGAACAACTTCTGGTTCTTGATGATGATGATGATGATGAGAACAAGTTGGTATGTACCATCTTATGTAGGTATTCTAGCTATACTTACGTTGTTGATATTCATCAACAGTCACACCAACAGGACATCTAAATCTCTTGAATATTTCGACCAAACAACCTTCCAAATCACTGTCTGTTAATTGAAACTTGTCGTTCGAAGGAACATTTCGAGTTGAAGCGGGACTCATATTTATTAAAAATAAAAAAAACCGTATAAAGTAAATGAATCTATAAAACAGTATTAAAAAACGTTATAAAAAGGAAATTGTATAAAAATATTCAAGATTACATTACATAACACATAATGTCAAAGATGACATGAAATGATGTATTAAGTTTTATCCAAAAATGGCAACTCTACTTACTTACTAAAGAGTTTTGTGTTTATGGAAATTAGATCCAACCTTCCACGAGTCCTCCACATCCAAGAGGAAACTTTCGGGCTCATGCTAGACAATAGCCAGTGTCGACGTCAGTGGTTAGTGAAGGCGGAGGAGGTGTAGCAGATATTGGTCATCATCAGGTCTAGCAGGATTGGCTTTTATTCGTAGTCATGGGAGAGTCATGTTTAAGCAGGAATGGCCACGGCCTCAAAGAAGACCGGCGTGAACTGGTGGTAGGTGTTGTAAGTTATTTGGGTGCCCATGGGCAGTATTGATTGCTTACCGTCAGCTGGTATGTCTGCCTGGTAATTTAGACTTACCTATTCCAATAAGTAGGTATGTATACATATGTATATATAGGTATATCTACCTAGGTATAAGTTCCACTTATTAGATATAAGTGGAACTTATACCTAGGTAGATATACCTAGGTATAAGTTCCACGTCGTATACCATACCGTCCTGGGCACGGTCCCCTTTATGGTAAAGACACGAGTGCCGTCTTTCAATTTAAATATTGCGAATAGATGGTTTTAAGTTTCGTATGCTTTATTTTTTATTGAGGATGATGTAGAAGCATCATGTTACAGGTTTAATCCTCATTTCCAGTAGCTAAGGTACAGATGGTGTAAGAATAAAAGAACGGTAAAGTGGTAAACTAGAGCCTGGAATATTTAGTAGTTAGTAAATTAAACAAGTTCTTCTTAGGCACATACAGTTTACATCCTATTGTCTTGACGCAGAAAGGTTCTGCCGTAATAAACAATTCGTTTGTCTACATTGTTTAAATTTACGCTTCGACATCAAACCTAAATTGAATGCGAAATTACTTTGGCGGGTTCATCATGGCTGAGGGATTGTGGGTAAAAGCTGTTTTAATTAGTTGTCTAGTGCTCAAGCAAACTATTTAGTGCCGTTATATACACAACTGTTCAATTATATACAAAGCTGATGCTCACGCTGTTTTATAAAGTTTGTTTTTAATAGGTACCCTATTCATTCCGAGAGGAGAGTGGAGTAGCTAGGTGGGTATTGTAGAACAATATTTATTATGCATGTGGGTAACATCCCAGCCAATTTTCTGTTTATGACTATTGTTAAATAAGCTAAGTCTAAGTGCATGCAGCTTGAATATTTCTCCAGTCAGCAGTTGACTCAGTGATCACAGGAACAATAAGGTACACAAGTCACCTTTCTTCTGTTAAGATAATTATTGTAGCATGATAAATGATTACATAGTACGACGTTGTACTTGTTGTACATGTTGTAGTTGTAACAGGGATGTTTATTGTTAAACACCGGCGCAATAAAATCACTTCTACTACCTACTTTAATAAAATTAAAAAATCCAATGCTTTTTTGATTATTTTAAAAGCCAAAGTCTGAGTTCCGCATCATTGTTTATCTACGTAAATAGTATCAACGATTTTTTCTAAGGGGGCAAATCATCGAATGTTTTCTCCCGCCTGGGCAAGGTGTGAGGAACTGTCAGACTCTTATATACTGACTAAAAACCACCCCGTTCCTACTCCTGCCCTTCGAGCCGGCACCCTGGCAATCCGTTAAGTCCTCCACGGTTCCGTATCGGCATCAGCTCTATTGAGCCCCGTCTGTGGTGATCTGATGGTTCTTTGAGGAGCGCGCGGAACGCTACGCGCCGTACGCTCGGGCCTGGTACTGGTCTGGTCGGGCGGCGAGCCACCTATGCTCGCCGTCCGCAGGCTGGTCCGCCGTCGATCGTCCCGCGACCCCCAACGCCCGGAGTGTCCTTCGCGACGGCTAGGTTGTAAGGGGGCAGCGCTTGGCTGCCTCACACGCCCCGCCTCCTCCTTAGCTAGCATGACAGCTTCGTAAAAGAAGGAGACGGCATCCAGTCCTCCTAGCTCCGCATCATGACCCGGTCTAGGGCCGGACGCGAGAAGTCGCAGTCACCGACCACATTCCTGACCACGGCGGTGCTCAGCCCACGCAGGGCATGCCCCTAACGTGTATTCCACTGTGTCCTCAGGGCGGTCCTCGCAGTGATGATACCAAATAGTATCAACGTGCGTTGATACTATGAGACTAGGCGACTAATATAATATTGTTCACTCCAAACATCCACAAACTACAGAGATGCTGACACTGTAATAATGGTTGGTGAGGGTAATACTATGACTGTAAAACGTCTACAATGTACTCTATCCTTGACCCACTTACACAGAGGCTGCGATCTCCCCTACCATTTATTCGACCGAGTTACTGAGTTACAATCGACTTCCTAAATATGCGTAACAAAGAAGCAACGGAGACAAAAGGATTTCACCTTATTGTTTAACATTAAAATGTTCATTTTACCTTTGAAACAGATAGAATTGTTGTTTACGAAGCCTTTGTATGACTGCCGAAATTTTAGCAGGTTTAAAAGCTGATAGAAAAGAGGTATAAATAAAAGTTATTAACGTATTACTCTACCTAGATATCTATCGAGAGCTGAGAGCGCATAAGCTAATAGGTATTAGAACATCAAATAGTATATAGGTACCCACTACCTAACTGTAACTAATACCATGCCTGCCTAGCCAAAGAGTTCAGTAGGTTACGTTGCATACATATCTTTATCGTTTTCTTTTCGTTCTTGGCTTGCTTTACGCGCAAGCATGTGCTACTTGGTCTGGAGATCTTAACAGTGTAACAATTAGAAGTATTAGAAGTGATGTGGAATTACTAGTGAACTCGATAGCAAATAAGCGATTCACAAGTAAAATAAAATCTAGAATCACATTTGGCAGCCCTAGATTTTCATAACGAAACCTTTTTATATTTAATAACACAGTATTTATTTTTACACGCAGACTTACATTACGGCATGCACGTGTCTGTGTTCGGGGTAGGAGCAGGCGGACTGGGTCACGGTCGGTGACGTCACGGGACGCCTCAACCTCCCCTATGCGTTTGTTCTCCTTGGACAAACACTCGTAAAACTGCTGCTAATGAACTAATCAAATAGGGACATTACTTCGCACTTATTCAAGGTAATCTTCCACTAAAGATTTGGCACGTAACTGAATTAAGTGAATTAAGAAAACTGATTTTTAGTTATTTTACTGAACCTTTACTTTCAGCCCGCTATGTTCCAAAGCCCATACCTACTTACGCAATGCTATGACTCATAAATGTTTTGATATGGTTATGAGTACCTACAGAATAACAGATGAATTAAAGAAAATGGTACAGGATAATTTCACGATTGAGTCAATGTAAGTTGGTAAAGTTGCGGGCGAGGGGAGTTATAAAATATTGGTATTTGTTTAACCCTTCGGGGATATATATATACAAATCTAGGTTGTTATGTAATATAAGCTAGGCTAGCTAGTATAAAGTGTATCTTTTCGATGTCCAACCTTCTTTCAACAAAGTAAAAAGAAAACTTTGCCACAAGGGAGCAGAAATAGCTAAAGAAATGTAACTTTGAGATTTCCTCGGGTAGTTACAGGGATAGTACCTACATTGTAATCAGTGCTTTTATGTTTTGTTCTAGTAGGTACTGTAGATGTCTTTTGTAGGCTGGGTTTGGTCAAAAACTTATTCTATTTTGTTGATTATTTTCGAGTAGAAAAATTTAGACATTTGTTCTTGTGACAAGATTACTATACTTTATAGTTGTTCTTTGTTTGTAACATAGGTCTGTAAGCACCATTCCCTTCCGATTTCAAGATTTCTTAGTTAAAGTGAGTCTCTTGATGTACCTATTTACTGTATTTAACTATATGTTTTGAGAATTTGTTATATTTCTACTTTGGACTACAAAAGCAACTTTGAAACTGAGTAATACATTATTACAAAAAATCACTGATATACCTCTAGATAACCTACTAATTTCATTTATTATGTGTATGGAATACGAACTACCAATCGCTGGGATATAAAAAGGTGTCCAATAAAAAAAATCGGGCTACCTCACTCTTTGTGGAAACCATCAAACCTATATCAAACAGCAACAGCAAGCTATATTGTATCAGATAAAATGTTATTATTGGATTTTTTCTATTACGAAATTCCCACCTTGTTTTCGGTCTAGCAACCCTGCGTAATAGAATGGCGTCAGGGAAGTCGGTAATAAGGGTCAGCCCTACGACATGGCCCTTAATATCGATGTAGAGGTCATCAGGCCTAAGGGTGGATCCACATTTGCGGTTATCGCATCATATCGCCTTTACATATTAGCCAAACCGTGATTGGATCACTATACTGGATTTATATAATAGGCCTATTTCGTCAACTAATTTGGATATCAACCAAAATTTTAATACCGTTTACTACAGGGTTGCAATATGGTACAGGTTTAGCTTGAACTAGGATTGATTTTAGGATATTTTTCTATTACATTTATTTTAAGCAAAAAAACAACATTCGTCTTTAACTCGTCGAGTACCGGTTTTGTAGACACAATTATAGAACAATAGGTTGCGGTCACGGGTGACCGCTTGGTGTTTGCCAGTTTAAACAGGAAAATAAATATTTGGGTGGATCTCCATGTATCATGAATATTTTTTTTATGGCATAAGCCGGTAAACGAGCAGATGGATCACCTGATGGTTAGCAATCGGCGTCGCCCATGGACACCTGGAACACCAAGGTGTTACAAGTGCGTCACCGGCTTATTGGGGATTAGGAGTTTGAGGATCGTTGGGGATTCAGGGATTGGGGAGATTGGGGAAGGGGAGGGTAATTGGGCCTCCGGTAACCTCACTTACACGCCGAAACACAACGCAAGCGTTGCTTCACGTCGGTTTTCTGCTCGGCCGTGGTATCACTCCGGTCGAGCCGGCCCATTCGTGCCGAAGCATGGCTCTCCCACATTTAGCTATATAACAAATAACTGCTATATAACAAAGAGTCGGTCAATAAAAGAGAATATTATATTATCATTATCCAATCTGATGTAGTTCTCGTAAATCATCCTGATGAAATCTTGGTCTAATTTTATCGTCTCGCGGAAACCTAAAACAGGACCATTATGAGTTTTACAGGCAGTCTATTGCGTTTATTACACGGATAAAATTGAAATAAACGATAGGCAGGCTTCGTAAAGGCGGTTCGTGAAATCGTGAGGGAAGGTGGCGAAATATTGAGGCTAATCGATCCTCAGTCCAAACTTCACAATGCTCAGTGTAACTACAACGAGGCTGAATCAATATTCAATAATGACAAGCAAAATTATAGTGTCCTGAATTAGACATTAAGTTGAAATCTGCTTTTCATCAACGGCGCTTTGATAAGGCACCAAAAATGAAAAATGCGATGTTTTTTGATCTTTTAATATTCCTAGGATGGTAATCATGTAATCGTTTGCCTGAAATTTGAGGTAAAACGATTACGACAAACTTCTAACATTTATATTAATTTAACTCGACGTAATAAAATGAAATGACCTAATGAAAATCTCGTACCTGTGTTATTGCCAGTAAATGTTGTGGTGTCTATATCTATTAAATGTTGTACAAAGCAGCTTTTCACTATCAAGGAGAAAGGTAGATTAGAAGAATCAAATATGTATAGAAGCCCCGAGCGGGTCAGAAAAAACGGACTCAGATTTAAGATTACAATTCTTTTGTAAAGCAAAAAGAATGTTCATTGGGTTTACAAATTCAGTGTTTCGGAAAAATCGTACTTATACTAACGAGGTTTTAAATGGCTATCTTGTAAAAATGTACATTTGACACATAACATCACGCCTTTTATCCTCTAAGGGGTAGGCAGAGGTGCACATTAAACCACTGTACAATGTAACACCCACTTTTCACTATTTATGTTATGAGTCAAATGTAATAGGGGGTGAGCCTATTGCCATATACCGGGCACAATTCCAGACTCCGTGCTACTACTGAGAATATTTGAAAAAACCCAGTAATACTTTGCCCGACCCGGGAATCGAACCCGAGACCCCTAGCCCGGCAGTCGCACTTACGACCACTCGGCCAACGAGGCAGTC